AAATATATATATAAACAGTTAAAATGGCGTAGTAGAAAGAATGGCAAAGTAAAAAGAATGGCAGAGTAATGAAAAGCATTTGTTTCCATAGACATGCCATTTAAAATTTTATTTTCTCTATACCAAACTTAATTTTCTAACTCTTTTTTTCTGGAGGAAAATAACTTTAGTTTCGGTGCTTGAAAATTGATGCAAATTTTTTTATTTTTAGATTATCTTGTTCAAAAGAATTAAAGAAAATTATTTAAGTTTTTTTTTAGCAAATTGCCAATTGGCCAAATTTTTCTCTTAACTAAATATAATTTAAACAAATGAATCATTTCCAGTTTTTGCATATATTTTGTGAACCTGAAGGAAACATTAATGGAGTAATTTTTTAAGTATTAAGTAATCTGGTCACAAATGCTTTACATTAAAAAAATAGAATCACAAAAGTTCAAGTTTTTTTTATAAATGTTTTTTTGTTGATTTTAATATCCTACTTTATTCTTATTCATCTTACAACACTTAATGTTTATTCATTATTGTAAGTGTCAGTTTGTTTTAACATAATTTGAGAGTAATAGTTCCCACTTCCATAATTCAAGTGACTGAAATACCAGAAAACAAAAACACAAATTATTTTTGCACGGATTTATGCAATTCGATTAAACTGAGTTTCCCCAGTTAAGCTTTTCTATTAACAAATGGCAACAACTTTCTTGCTTATGTTTTTTTTCTTCTTTCTGCTCATAAAATGGGGGCTTAGTTTGTTAGTGAATTTCTGTTCGGTTAAGGATTTTCAGAAAGTAGTGTGCTGTTTTGGTTTAACTATGGAATATTTTTAAGCAGGTTTTTTGAACATTGTAATTAGTTTATATATTTTATTTTTTTTATTTTGTTTTTGTATTTTATATTCTCTCCTTCTGAACTTTTTGCAAAATCTTTGGGATACAGCGAGAGCAAAGTTTAGACATTTGAAGTGCTCTCTCTACAGAAAAGGTTTTGTATTTTTGTGATTTCCGGAGCTGGTACCCCCTGACGACGTCAACTTCGGACGTCATTATTATATTTTTCATTATTTTCATTGTTTTCTTCTTTAAAATTTTCTATTGGTTTCAATTTACTTATGGAATTTTTACTGCTTTTCTTTGGAATTGTAGTATTTATCAGCTTTATACAGTTGATTCTTATTTGTTTTTGATTTCTTATTTTATTACCATAAATTGAGAGTTTTTTTTGTTTATTACATGCCAATTTTAAAAATTTATTTTGATTTCATAATTGCTGTTTTTACTTTTAAAGTTAATTTTTTTAAAATGTACTTATTTTAATTAGGAAAGAAAATACTGCTCTTAAAGCAAATGTTTGTCCAAATACAATCAGTTATACCAAACGCAGTGGATACAACGATCTTCCAGCCGGATTTCTTGCCAAAGCTAAAGTCAAGAAGTAAAGTAATTTATGCCAACGTGTTTACCTTATTTTTTCTGTAAAATTTCATTTGTATTCCTTTTATCTTTTATTTTCTCATGGCACTTATGTCCCAAAGTTAAAATATAGGCTCTCTCTTATCTTAACTATATATAAGAGCCTGTGGCAGAATCGTGGGGACACAGCGACATTGTCGCAGAACAATACAGAGTTCTTGCAGAAAGAATTTTTATTTGGGAAGCAAACAAGTTTGATTTTTTTTATCTGCAGAATATTTGGGAAGATTTTTTTTTCTGCAGAGCTTTTTTTCTTCCTTTTCTGCTGAATTATTTTTAAAAAATGTCTTTCGCATATATCAGAGATGGAAGAAATGCTCATGTTTTTCTTTTTTTACTTTGCTTTGAGAATAAAAAAAAAATTCCCAATGCCTGATTGATATTATAAAAAGTAATTTCCAAATCGATAAAATTTTAAAAAGTTAACTACACAAAAATTTTTTTGTAACAGGACAATATCGCCAATGATATCAGAATATCTATTCTTTTTGATGTATATCAAAAAAAAAAAAATTCTTACATTTATAATTTAAAAAATTATATGCTGTTCTACTCTGTTCATAAGGCTTTCTTTAAAAATTTTTTTTTTTGAAAACAGGAAACGCTTCTGTTACTTGAAATTAGTAATATATATATATATATATACTGTATTTATTATATCTATAATAATGTATATTATTTATTATATATAATTGTATATATATATTATATATATAAGTTAAAATATAGACATAGACAAACTCTGCATTAGGATTGTAACTCCACATTGCCAGACTTTCATTATCACTACTCAAATCCTGTTTTTAGTCTTATCACCTGATATTGTCTGAATCCTTCCAATTTTACTGGTATTCAATGTCTGTTAACTCTCATTTATGTTCAACACAATTATATTCATATTCATTCATCAGTTCGATGTATTCAAAAAAATAATTGTAGTTTTGGGAATCTATGTATTCCTCCAGTTTCATAATAATCAAGCTTAAATAACTGGTTTAGACACAACACATATTTAACAGGGTGCATAGAGTTTTTAAAAAGTAATTAAAGGTGCTTATTTTTGATTTACATTTATTGAAAGCCCTTAAAGGTGCTTTTTTTAATCAGGGTTTGTAAAAAGGGCTTAATTTTCTATTTTTTAAAACGAGATTTTTCATTGCCGTATTGATTGTCGTTCTAAATTACAAAAAATTCATGATTTTCACTATTTTCTCTGCAATATTTATCAGAAACTAGTTATTTTATCATGATTATTTTAAGTTTTTGAAAATGTTTTTGAATTTTATTGATTTTATGTTTATAAATAAAGAACTTTAAACGATAGAAGAAAAAAAATATTTTTATTACTGCACAGATCCTAATTATGATTTTTTTTGGAAAGTGATTAAAAATATTTTTGGAGTACTTAAAAGGTGCTTATTTTTTGTTGAAAAATCAGGCTACGCACACTAAAAATATGTATAGATAGATATTTATTAATAATGCAAAATTGTTTAATATTTATGTTATTATAAAGTTTCATATTAATAATTTCATTGTACAAGTAATCTTATGTTCTAAAATAAATAATAATTTATTTTAGTTGCAATCGTTGTCATCAGTAGACTTGTTTATAGAAAAGGAATAGATCTACTTGCAGAAGTGATTCCACAAATTTGTTCCAGATACCCCGATGTAGATTTTATAGCTGGTATGTGCTTTAAATGTATTTTTCCCTCTCAGTTCGTAAGCGATATTTAAATACCAGTCTTAACCCTCCTGGCGTCAAGCCCGTTATATCACGGGTATGATTTCTATGCTAAAAGCGGCTTGCCCATGTATGCACGGGTTCACATTCTGGCTCTGGAGCAGCGATCACATCTTTTTCTGAACTAGAATATTTCCTTCCCCCTCAAACTCCTACTGCTCACAAATTGAGAGGCGTATAAGCTGTCATTGTCAATCACTCACTTTGTGCTAGAATATTTCTGTTTGAATAGATGTGAATAGTTTGCTTTCTTTTTCATGTTTGAACCCCAATCTAACCAAAAGTTTACTTTTAAAAAACAGATTACATTTTTATTTTCTCCAACACTTTCGAAATATTGAATTTTTTTAAAAAAAATATTTTCATTGCTTAATTTATTATACTAAATCTTTGAATAAATAGAATAGTTTCGTACTTTTAAATTTCAATTAATTTTCGAAAAAGCATTTTTCATTTTAGAGTAAATTGCAGGAAATTATTTCTTGTCTGAATACAAATACAATATTTAATGAACTAATTAATGAATTTTTAATATTACTAATTTTCCATAGTATTTAACTAATTCATTTAAATTAGTTAATTTTTTTAAGTATTATGTTGCTTACAAAAAAAGTAAAAAATTTTTTATCTGGCAAATGAAGTTAACTCTTGAAACACTCTCTCCTCTTTCTGTAATGTTAAAGACTTTCTCGGCATTTTTCTAAAAATCCAATCACTCAAAACGCTAGTTTTATTTGTACTTCGGTTTAATGATATTAAAGCATTTTCATGGATAGAGAAAAAATCGAAATTCTTTTCATTAGTAAATACATTTCTCATACACGTGAATATATAAATGCAGCATATTTCTGTAATGATAAGTTTAATATTATACTCAAATTTCCTTAATAAATAATAATAAAAAAATGTACGAACTGTTAAAACTCCAAATAACTAAGTGAGTTATAATAAACTAAATATTTTTTTCGAGTCCACAAAATAAATGTAAATATTTTATTCCACTCAAATGCATTTTAAATATACATACATTTAGATATAAATTTTAAAGAAAACGATTTTTTTAAAAAGTATAACTGATTATATTTAAAATATTTAAGTAATCGTTGTGAAAATTCCAGTAACTAAAATAAAATATTAAAATCATTGCACATTTTATATACTTTAATTGTTGGAACACTTGCAAACAAGATTTTTTTTCTTTCAAAAAGATGTTTTATTTTTAATTAAATTCATCATTAATTTGATTCAAAGTACAATTTTTTCTATAATATCATTCGAAATCCAAATAAAAGTGTGTGTAAATTCAATGTTGTAAGCTCGAGTTGTGTTGTAATTATCATGTTTGTAAATATTCAGGAAACCTGGAAAGTAATGACACTTTGGTGCATTGAATATTCAATAGTCTTAAAAATCCCTTTTTTTACGATCCGGAATTGAAGGGTTGTTGATAACGAGGGTGAATACATTTTTGATTAAAAATAACATCTTGGTAACAAATATCAAGTGCATCGAAATGACATTACTTTCAGATCTCCCTAATATTTCATGAATTTAAAAGTTGTTCAATCCAGATGGGTGGAAACAACCAACGTAAGTATTACAGTACTGACATTCGTACTAAAATATGCATCGATTGATTGTCTGAAATCTAAAGTAGATGATTACATGATGTTTTTGTTAAGTTATTAAAATAGTTTTCAGAAGTTTAATTTAAAATGGGGGTACGCAAAGCGATAAACAAACCCTTATTCTGATGTAAATATAATCTAGACAATACTTATCATACTAGTGTCCAGATATCATACTAGTTATCATACTAGTGTCCATACGAGTTATCATACAGTTTCATCTAACGGGAACGTTTTCTTTTCTGTTCATGGTCAAAAATGCTGTAAAAGGTGATCTAAAAAAATGGGCGTATAGTACTAAAAGTAAATTGCAGAAGTTAGAGAAATGCGAAATGTAGAGAAGATTTGTCGCTATATTTTCTGCAATTCAATTAAAGTCTAAACTTCGATTGCGAAAAAATAAACTTAAAATAAGAGCTTAAATAAACTTAAAACAAAAAATAAGAATAAAAGTAGGCTAGAATTAAAAAAATAAAACATAAATGAACTTAAATAAAGTACACGACAATTCTGCGAACTTAACAAGTAAAATAATCGAAGTAGTGGATAAAATTTATAATTAAAGGTCACGGAAAATACAATTCAATAACACTCTGCAACAAAATATGCATTTTACTTCATCAGTAATCTTCCCATGCATTTTGTATGCAGAATTTACTTTTGGAATAAAAATTAACTCGCTAATTGAATAAAAAGTTCCAAAAATATTTGGCAACTAAAATGGAAGGCATTACGTTATTTTGATTCTTTGGAATTGGATATTTTTGAATTTATAAATGACGTTATAAACAAATTTATAAAACATAATCCAACAAATCATATGTTTAAGAAAAAGCGATAGCAAGTTTTTGTGCCCAACCACAATCTCAATTTCATTCATAATCCACAACATTCATAAATATATTGCTATTTATTATAAATACTACAATATTTTTAAAATATTACTCTTATGAATAGTAAATATGACTATTAAGGGATACAAGTTTTATTATTCTAAATATATTTTACCCCATATAAATTAAAATCACAGATAACATAACTTAATGTTAGTTTTCTTAAGAATAATTTTCTTTTAAAAAAATTTTTAAATTTAATTTGTCTAGAAAATAAAAAGTTGTTATGACCTTTAATTTATTGATATTTGACCGAAGTAATGCAGAAAATTTTACTTTCCTTATTTCAATAAATTTTTCTGCTTATGTTACATACGTTCTTTGATTTTTTACTGCTAAGCTGCGCACTTTAAAAAGTAAAAAAAAAAAACCTAAGAATTTTTTTTATTTTTAAAAAGCATTTTTGATGTTATTTTATTGCTATACAAAAGGTGTGCATAGTCATAGTACCTTTTCTTATGTCAAAGCATTTTTATGTCATAATCATTAGTTCTAATTCTTGTCAGTTTGTTTCGACGAAGAAGAAACACAGAACAATGTTTTTTTTACTAACAGATAGGGAGAGAAAGTGATGAAGTCCTTTTAACACATTTTTTCAATTTTTCACGAACTATATTATATAAGCCGAAAACAATTATTGTTGTTTGATATTTANTTTGTTTCGACAAAGAAGAAACGCAGAACAACGTTTTTTTTACTAACAGATAGGGAGAGAAAGTGATGAAGTCCTTTTAACACATTTTTCCAATTTTTCACGATATTATATAATATATAAGTCGAACTATATTATATAAGCCAAAAAAATTTTTTGTTGTTTGTTACTTACCATTGTGTTTATTAGTCGCCATTTTTTACTAGTGTGGAATAACTGATTCCGTCTAGCAACATGGTGCTAAGAGATGAATTTAAAAAAAAAAAAAAATTCGACATTAAATATTTGAAACCAATACTACCGAAAATTTTTGTATAACTACGTTTATTTTTGTATATTTAAATTTTGTTAATTCCACATGATTTTTTTTCTCCCAAATATATGTCTTTGCATGATCTATATTGCTAGAATCATTCCTTTGAATGTAACAGCAATGGACAAAACTACAAAGAATCATCATTATATTGACTTGTAAAATAATATTCTTGCAACAATTCCTGTACTGATATCTATTCTTTGTATGTAAAATTTCATAAGGTTATGAATTTTTTTAAGCTTTATTATTGATATTACCCTATGAAATAAAATAAGAAAATTTACAATACAAAATGCAGTTTTGCTTAACTAGTGTATATAGAAATTGATATTTTTAGTCAATTTTATAAAATGTTA